ATGGGAAACCCACCTCCCAACTATGTTGAAGACCTGAAAGCTGGAGTGGTTCTTCTCTCAGCAGTCCTTCCAGCTCCTAAGATTATAAAGACAGAAGCCCCTACAAACTCAGCCAGACCCCCACACATTTAGAGGTTGGACTTCCTCTGATCCTTGAAATGGCCACCCTGAGAACACGGCCCCGGGGCTTCCTCCAAAAGGGAGCTGCAAAGAGGGAGTCCCATTCTAGCTCCATTTCTAGGTGTTTTGCTCAAATTGACGCTTTTTCCCTATTGAAAGAGAAAATTCGGATTGGGCATGGTGGCTCATGCCTGTAATCCTAGTACTTTGGGAGGCAGGCAGATCACCTGAGGTCAGGAGTTTGAGACCAGCCTGGCCAACATGGCAAAACCCCATCTCCACTAAAAATACAAAAATTAGCCAGGCGTGGTGCTGCATGCCTCTAATCCCAGCTACTCAGGAGGCTGAGGCAGGAGAATTCCTTAAACCCAGGAGGCAGAGGTTGAAGTGAGCTGAGATTCTGCCACTGCACTCCAGCATGGGAGACAGAATGAGAGACTCTGTCTCAAAAAAAAGAAAAAGAAAGAAGGGAAGGGAAGGGAAGGGAGAAGGAAAGGGAAGCGGGAAGTAAAGAGAAGGGGGAAGGAAAGGGAAGGGGGAAGGAAAGGGAAGGGGGAAGGAAAGGGAAGGGGGAAGGAAAGGGAAGGGGGAAGGAAAGGGAAGGGGGAAGGAAAGGGAAGGGAGAGGAGGGGAGGGGAGGGGAGGGGACGGAAAGAAAAGAAAAGAAAAGAAAGAGAAAATTCGTAAAGGAGGGACCCTGTCTTCACTGTGCCTTGGTTCGATTCTTGGTTATGAGTGGTTCCATGGTGGTGGAGGCTGCTGATGGAAAGGGGAACAGAGGGGTGAGGGATTTTTGCTGAAAATCTAGAGATTACTTAGAAGCCCCCATATTTCCTGGGCCCCTGAAATGATTGGATCCAAATGGGCTTGTGAGGAATTTTGAAATTTTGAATTTCACCTGAATTTTGGATGTGATTTTTCTCTATCGTGTGCACAGAGGCTGAGAGAGGCTCTTTCCCTTAGGATTTTGTGAATCTTGTCTTTAACTCATTGCCCAAAGTAATGAACTCATTTTACTGACTTCAGAAAAAGACATCACCAGCCTGGCCTGGGAATAACACATGGGAAACTGAAGACAGTAGTATAATTAAGTTCACAAAAGGCCAATTCTTACGGCCATATTTCAAATGCTCACAACGCCTTCTCATCCATTCTACCAAATGACTTGGCTTCACAATATATTCAGAGTGAAAAAACATAATGGATTCTTCTGAGATACTCAATTAGTTCAATAAAAAGAGAAAAATAATTTTTCAATAAAGAAATTTAGCTAAATGACTAAAGCTGACAGTGAAAAACCAACTTCAAAGTAATTATGCATTTCTTTTGAGTTTGCGCTCTAACAAAAGTTGATGATATGCCACCATTAGAAATAGCCATCCTTCAAATGATTAATTGCATTTGTGTTGGTATTTTAGCAGACATTTATTTGAATGTTTACTCTGTAACTGTCTTCGGGTGTTGATATATTTAAATTTCCACCAGCCCTGCTGAAAAGTATCAGCTTGCGCTTCTTCATGACTCACTGCTCAACTTCCTTTAAGCTGGTTTTTTCACCATTAATGGAAACCTCTTCCAAAAATGTCACCAGTAACATTCTCCTTGCAAAATCCCATTACTTCTCTTTACTTCTTATCCTTGTGGGGGTCATGACACACTTAATTATGGGTCACTGACTCCCAGTTCTCTCCTGTAAAAGTAGCATCTGCTCTTTAAACTTTGAGGTCTCTCAGGATTCCGTATTCCACCCCTCTGGCATTCTGAACTTTCACCTTGGGTAACCACTTTGATAGAGAAGTTTCAAAGGCATCTATGTGTTGATGACTTCCCAACCCCTGGCTCAGCCTGGGCACTTCCGCCAAGCTGCACACATCTGCGCAGGTGCATTGAATTCGACGGGCCATTAGCACAGTCAAGGCTGAACTGCTGGTCTTCCCACTTCCCACTGCACTCTGCTCTTCTTCGGGCAGGCTCGTCTGAGTGCTTGATCACCTAGACAAGACACTGCTTTCCTGCTCCAGCTGCACGCGTCATGCCTCTCTTCATCCGTGGCTGGTCCGCCTGCCTGCAGTGTCTCACATTTCCTATCAATACAATTGTGTGCTTTCTGAAAATAAGTCAGGTCCGATTGTTCCTGGATCCCTGCCTTCCTGGAAAGCCTCTGCACTCTGTAGAATCAGTACAGGCCCCTCGTGATGCTACTCAAGGCCCTCCAGGAGCCCATGCCACCATCAGTGCCCTTAGCTCTGGGGGAGCAGCTCCACTACGGCACCCCACGACTTTGCATGTAGAGCCACACGGGGAGGGTGTGACCTGCAGCTGCGCCGAGTCTTGGCAGAACACCCTGCAGTCCCCCAGCCAGTTTCTCGTTGCCTTCCAGGTTCTATGAGGTGCAGGGGCTTTCTGCCTGCCCCTCTCAGGACACAGCTGCTGCTATAAAACTGCTGAGAAGCAGCTTGGAGTTGGCTCTGCTGCAACATCCCTTCTATCTGTTGCAGTTGTCCAGTCCCTTTTATTTTGCCATGACCTGCACCAAGGCCACAATGCCCATGCCTCCTTTTACTGTCTAAGTAATAAACTGTCTGCATCTAAAGAGGTCTCCCTGTTTCTTCGCTAGGACTTGCCTGTGTCCTGTATGCCAACTTCAAATACTCTCTACCCTTCTAACCCCCAAGTAACTCGATAGCCTAACTGCAAACTTAATGTCATTTCCAAACATAAATATAGTACAAGATAAAGTAAAATTATACTTGGAAGTCTGGCTAAGTGAAAATAAGGATTAGAAAAAGGAAACCAAGCCATAGGTTAGGTTAGTACTGTATCGTATTACTTTTTAAAACTGATAAGAACAGATCTACACTTGCTCTTAGCCAAACGCCAAGAAACGATTGTACTACTGAATAAAATTATGGTGCTGTCATTTTAGAGGTGCTTCAAATTCTTTTGGGAATCAGGCAAATCTGTATACTTAAAATGTGTGACCTATGAATTTGGCTCTAACCTTTCTTGCAGAAAATTAGAAATTACTAACCAATGGTTTGTCCCAAGAGCAAACCTCTAATGCACAAATGATTGAAAATGAATTCAGAGAAAACTTAAATAAAGGCAATCTGAGTTTTATTAACATTAAACGCCCTTTCTTTAAGTGAAAGGCATTATTAGGGCCAAGTGCAATGGCTCATACCTGTAATCCCAACACTTTGGGAGGCCAAGGCAGGTGGATCTCCTGAGGTCAGGCATTCGAGACCAGCCTGGCCAACATGGTGAAACCCCATCTCTACTAAAAGTACAAAAATTAGCCAGGCATGGTGGTGCACACGTGTTACCCCAGCTACTTGGGTGGCTGAGGCATGAGAATCGCTTGAACCCAGGAGGCAGAGGTTACAGTGAGCTGAAACCGCACCACTGCACTCCAGCCTGGGCGATAGAGCAAGACTCTGTCTCAAAAAAAAAAAAAAAAAAAAAAAAAAAAAAAAAAAAGAAAAGAAAGACATTATTAGATTGGTGATTATGAGGGCCATTATCTTAAAATAGTATTTCCTAAAATGCAAAACATTTCAGGAAGTAGCTGAAATATTAGGAAAAAAACAAGGCTTTAAAAATAAGGCCCAAAGGTTGAATGATGATTGCTTCTGTGCCCCTGTAGCCAGCTGCTGATCTCATTTCTCATTACTAACCCACATTCCTAAATCTGCCCTGTCCAGCAGGGTCAGCCATCCCAGCCCCCAGTGGCACCATCGCCATCTGAGACTCTTTTTCAGCCCCAGAAGAAAATCTCTCAGATTCAATCTTTCCCTCTTTAGTCAACTCCCTAGTTAGAGGAGAGCTACAGCAGGGAAACCGTGCTCATCCCTCATGGAGACTCCATCCTCCCCCTACCACCAACATGTGTGAATACCTGGCTACTTATGTAAAAGATTTAATTTGGTAAATGAAGAAAAGTCATATTTATCTCCATTCTTTGAATAGATTTCAGTGTGTGAGAATGACTTTTTAGTGTGTCAGAAGCTTGGTATTCTAAGGGTAAAGTATTAAGCCTAAAGAACTTCAATCAACAGTCTTAAGGCCAGGCGCAGTGGCTCACGCCTGTAATCCCAGCACTTTGGGAGGCCGAGGCAGGCAGATTATGAGGTCAGGAGTTTGAGACCAGCCTGGCCAACATAGCGAAACCCCATCTCTACTAAAAATACAAAAAATTAGCCAGGCGTGATGATGGGCACCTGTAGTCCCTCCTACTCAGGAGGCTGAGGCAGGGGAATCGCCTGAACCCAGGAGGCGGAGGTTGCAGTGAGTCGAGATTGCACCATTGTACTCCAGCCCGGGTGACAGGGTGAGACTCCATCTCAAAAAAAAAAAAAAAAAAAAAAGTCTTATATATGATAAATGGGTTTGTAAACCACTAAACTTTGTACCAAAAAAAATCTGTTATTGTTAATCTTGTTTGCAACTATTAATAATAACTGAGAAATGGGCTGGGCATGGTGACTTACGCCTGTGATCACAACATTTTGGGTGTCTGAGGCAGGAGGATTGCTTGAGGCCAGGAGTTTGAAATCAGCCTGGGCAACATAGTGAGACTCCCGTTTCTACAAAAAATACAAAAAGTATCCTCTGAGATGCAAACGCTAAGCCGGGTGTGGTGGCGTGCGCCTGTGGTCCCAGTTACTTGGGATACTGAGGTGGTAGAATTGCTTGAGCCCAGGAGGTTGTGGCTGCAGTGAGCCTTGATCACACCACTGCATTCCAGTCTGGGTGATAGAGTGAGACCCTGTCTCAAAAAATAAGATAAGTGCAAGATAAGTTTACAATGTAAAAAGTACTATGGTAAATTGCTCTCGCATATACCAGTTGCATACCAACATCTTCCCTTTTTCCCACAGGCAACCCTCCTGCTACGGGCACTGGGACTTTGCTGATAACCCTGGAGGACGTGAACGACAATGCCCCCTTCATTTACCCCACAGTAGCTGAAGTCTGTGATGATGCCAAAAACCTCAGTGTAGTCATTTTGGGAGCATCAGATAAGGATCTTCACCCGAATACAGATCCTTTCAAATTTGAAATCCACAAACAAGCTGTTCCTGATAAAGTCTGGAAGATCTCCAAGATCAACAGTAAGTCTAGCTAAAGCATTTCTCCCTGTTCTTCCAGCTTTCAGTTTAGTTTCTCTTCCCAAAATGCTCTTTCTCTACTATTCTCTCATGTATTCTCATTTGGTTCATTTTAAGTTATTGGCTTATTATAAATACTGACAATTTTCCCACCAACAAACAAATGCAATTTATCTGTTTCAAACATAGACGTTTTCTCTTCTGCTTCCTCTCTGATGTTTTCTGTACTGTACACCCTGTGTTGTATATCCTAACCTGTCTGCTACATACTGTAACTCCAATATTCTCTTTTTAAAATTTTAATATATTTAGGGGGCACAACTGCAGGTTTCTTATATACATACGTTGATTGCATAGAGGTGAAATCTAGGCTTTAAGTGTCCCCATCACCCAACAGTGAACTTTCTCTTAACTAATCTGTAGTTTCTGCCATCCCAGAGTTCCCAGCAACAAGACTGTGATTCTTTGTTCTTCCTCTTTCTCTTTTAATTAAACTCCACAGATTCTTTCTTTGTAACTAGCTTACGAAGAATATTGGCCAACCTGCCCAGTCTCAGCAGTCTCTGCTTCTCCCCAGCTATCTCTTGGCTCAGCTGTCTCTCCAATCTCAGAGACAGAGAACTGTGTTAACATTAACTTTCACCAGCGCATTGGAGAGACTTTTCATGGTATACTTGCCATCATAAAAGACTAAAGGAAAGAGAAGCACTAGGATAAGAATCTTTATAGTCTTCAACCTCCAACCTTCCATAGTATGCTGCAGACTGCCTCAAACTTGACTTGGTCTAATGATGACCTTGGCTTTTCTTTCAAATCCTTGGCCATCATTGACTTTGATGTCTTCTTCCATGCATCTTCTTTCTCCTTTATGAAACTTGCAAGCAATGTCTCCTTCCACCAGTCCTTCCACATAGGCAGGTGGAATTCAAAACTTAACCCAGCTTCTATCACTTGCCTTATCAAGACTGAAACACCAATGTATTAATATGGAGTATCCCTATATCCACAATCTCACCCACCTTCTTCCCCAAATGTAAACTAACTACTAAGTTCACCTTGTCTTCCAATAAAGTAAAAGAAAAAACAAACAAAAAAAGGCATTAGATACTATGTCTTCAATAATATACTTATCCTGCTGTTGACCCAGTCAGGGTTCCCACTTCTTATATAGGTGGTAGAAGTTTTGAGGGAGACAGAGAATTACCCATTTCATTAGATTTTGCCTAATGTACAATTGTGCATAACATTTTCTATTTAAAAATCTCATATCTATTGTTATAGCCCTATCTCATATCTTATTTTATTAGTGCCTTTTGCTTGTTATTGATTCTATTTGCCTGTTTGTCTATTTTATTGCTTTTTGAAGAATGAATTCTGTTACACTGATTATTTTTATTTAAAACAGCCCTTCTCTTGTTTGAGGGGTTAGTGTTTTATTTGCTAGTTTTTATGGCTGTGGCCAATTTGAATAAACATCTCCAAATCTTTCCAATCGGAACTTTCTCATTCAAGAGTTTCTTTTGGTGGGGGGTGGTGGAGGGGGTGAACATCAGGATAAATAGTCAATGCATGCTGGGCTTAATACCTAGGTGATGGGTTGATAGGTGCAGCAAACCACCATGGCACACGTTTATCTACTTAACAAACCTGCACATCCTGTACATGTACCCCGGAACTTAAATTTAAAAAAAAGAGAGAGAGAGAGTTTCTCCTCTGCTCAAGGAAGATGGGAAAATGCCGTTTGATTTAATCTGCCATCTCACTAGGTGACCATCACATTAGTCATTGCTGCTGCTGTCACCTTCTAGAAATGATCATGCTTCATCTATTTTTATTTTCCTGTCATTACACTCTTGTTTTTTTCTCCTCGTTTTACCTAATGGAAAAAAAATGCCTTCTAAATGATTTTGTTGTCTCACACTTTTTTTTCTGAATATTTAGCCCTGTTTATTCCCAGAAAGGGGTACCTAAAAATATGTATGCCCCTAATCATGTCAGTGACTTTATCCCAGGGTTAAAGAATAGGCCAGCTGGTACAGCCACTGCCAAGTGTCTCCCAAGGGCCTGGGTGATCGTGGCTATCGCCAACGCATATGACGTTAGGGAAGTGGAGGGGAAGCTTAAAGATCCAGTGTCTATGTTGCGGGTTCCCACCCAAATCTAGAGCTGTGGACTGAGGGTTGATTAAAAACCAAAAACAAGGCTGAACACAGTGGCTCATGCCTGTAATCCCAGCATTTTGGGAGGCTGAGGCAGGCAGATCACCTGAGATCAGGAGTTTGAGACCAGCCTGGCCAATATGGTGAAACCCCATCACTACTAAAAATACAAAACTTAGCGGGGCGTGGTAGTGTGTGCCTATAATTCCAGTTACTCAGGAGGCTGAGGCAGGAGAATCGTTTGAACTCAGGAAGTGGAGGTTGCAGTGAGCTGAGATCACACCACTGCACTGCAGGCTGGGCAACAGAGTGAGACCCTGTCTCAAAAAAAAAAAAAAAAACTGAAGACAAAAAACGTAGGCTATAGAACCTATCTCCATGATAACACATCAGGGTCCTGCCCACATTGAGAGCAGGTGGATTTTCACCTCAGCTTTCTAGATGTGGAACGCAGTCTTTGTCAAGATGACTTTTTCATGTAATAAATTTGCAGGGAGGAGTTCTTGGTAATCAATCATCTTCATGAAAGGAGCTCTCCTTGAAATTGATTATGATGGCGCTGAGGCACCGAACTCTGGTGATGGAAGCACTCTGTCTCTGTGCTGTTCATTACAAGAGCCACCAGCCATGTGTGGCTTCTGGGCACTTGGAATGTGGCAGGTGCCACTGAGGATCTGAACTGGTATTTTCACTTGACGTTAATAAATTTAAATTTAAGCATTCCCACGATTGTAAATGAAAATGCAGCACCTGTTTGGTGTGATTTTAGTCACCAAAACCTCACTCTTTTATTGGAAAAAGTCTCATCCACTCTCACCAGGACCCTCCTTGCCTTTACAGATACTCACGCCCTGGTAAGCCTTCTTCAAAATCTGAACAAAGCAAACTACAACCTGCCCATCATGGTGACAGATTCAGGGAAACCACCCATGACGAACATCACAGATCTCAGGGTACAAGTGTGCTCCTGCAGGAATTCCAAAGTGGACTGCAACGCGGCAGGGGCCCTGCGCTTCAGCCTGCCCTCACTCCTGCTCCTCAGCCTCTTCAGCTTAGCTTGTAAGTTGGCATAACTCCAGTGCATGCACGAGTAGGAAATTGTAACTTCATGGGGTTCATGAAGCCGGCATTTTTCCATATACCTTTCCAAGAAAAAGTATCCCAGAAGAATCATTCATCTTTAGTGTATGTCTGTATGACAGAACATGTTATATGTAGAAGTGCTCCCACTAATGTTTAAAGGCATCTTAACAATCCCTTCCAGCCAGTCTGAGGAATTGTGCAAAGGTGTTCATTGGTAGCCTGCAAACCAGCTGCCACTCAACTTGAGCTAATGAAAATGCACCCAGATTAGTTAACTGGTCTATCAGAGGCCTGTTTCTCTCTACATTATGCGGAATAATCTTTTGCAAGGTTAAAACAGATATGATGAGACTTTCTGAGAATAGTCATGAGAATTTATGGATGGAGGTTGGGCTGCAGGGAAAATGATCAACGCATAATTCACACTGTTTTTTCACTGGCTAGTAATAATGACTATAATATAATGAAACATTGTTTTAAACAAATGAGTTATTATGCCAAGTAATATAGATGTGAGGATAAAATGAATAAATACATGTGTCAGATATTCCTTATTTATGAAATACTAGTCCAATTTTAACTTTAGCAGTTATTCATATATAACTGTTACCATCCAAAAGCCGTTTGGGCCTTGCTATTTACGTTTTGAGAAGGTATTGGTGTAATTGCAAATTAGGAAGTTGGGAAATTGGCAGAAAAAGAAAACAGAAGGTGTTATACCCTAGTGACAGTGGTGAGCTGCCAGGAAATCATATAGTCCAACACTGGGCATTCATGTGTATAAAGCTCTGTGCAAGACCAGAGTCCTGTGAGTAGAAGGAAAAAGAAGGACTGGGCACGGTGGCTCAGACCTATAATCCCACCACTTTGGGAGGTCAAGGTAGGTGGATCATTTGAGGTCAGGAGTTCAAGACCAGCCTGGTCAACATGGTGAAACCTTGTGTCTACTAAAAATACAAAAATTAGCCAGGCATGGTGCCATGCGCCTGTAGTCCCAGCTACTCGGGAGGCTGAGGCAGCAGAATTGCTTGAACCCGGGAGGCGGAGGTTGCAGTGAGCGGAGATCGTGCCATTGCACTCTAACCTGGGTGACAGAGCGAGACTCTGTCTCAAAAAAAAAAAAAAAAGAAAGGAGGGAGGGAGGGAGGAAGGAAGGAAGGAGGGAGGGAGGGAGGGAGGGAGGGAGGGAGGGAGGAAGGAAGGAAGGAAGGAAGGAAGGAAGGAAGGAAGGAAGGAAGGAAGGGAAGGAAAAGAAGAAGCCATTATAGCATCTCACTAGCCCTTCAGACTGGGCATTTCTGAAAGCGAACGTATCATCTTCCCCTACTGACCTGCCCCTCTGCCTGCCTTGCCTCTGATGACTGTACCACCATCATCATCATCACCATCATCTCCATGTCTCCTTCCCAATCTTCCCACTGCAAAGCCCAACAGAGTCTAAGGGTCCAACACTTTCCATCCATACCTGCCTCCACCCTCCTGTCTCAGGTGCTAATGTTCACTTAACCTCGATTATCTCACTGGCTTTCTAACTTTCTCTTCTGCAAAGAGAGAGAAAATAGAAATCAGGAGGCTGCCCCTCAGAGACTTCTCCTGAGTCTTTTCTGTAAAGTAGAGACAATTTCAGATGAAGGGATAGAGATGGGACTGGGGGCTGAGAAGAAATTAGGAAACCTTGTCAAAGGGCAAATAATTCGACTGTACAGCAGTTGGGCTGAACGTTGAGCAGGGGTGGTCCAGAGGAGATGGGATACTGTCTTAGTCCGTTCAGGCTACTATAACAAAATACTATAAACTGGGTGGCTTATAAATAACAGAAATGTATTGCTGATTGTTCTGGAGGCTGAGAAGTCCAAGAACAAGATGCTGAGAGATTCATTGTCTAGTGAAAGCCCACATTTTGGTTCACATATGGAGCCTCCTCCCTGCATTTTCACACGATGGGGAGAGGCAAGGCAGCTCTCTGGGGCCTCTTTTATAAAGGCACTCATCCCATCCCATCCATGAGGACTCTGACTTCCTGACCTACTGATTTCCCAAAGGCCCACCCTCCTAATACCATCACCTTGGGGATCAGGTTTCAGCATATGACATTTGGAGGGGCACAAACTTCAGCAGATACTATTAACCACCCAGTTTATAGTATTTTGTTATAGTAGCCTGAACGGACTAAGACAGTATCCGATCTCCTCTGGACCACCCCTGCTCGACGTTCAACCCAATTGCTGTACAGTCGAATTATTTGCCCTTTGACAAGGTTTCCTAATTTCTTCTCAGCCCCCAGTCCCATCTCTATCCCTTCATCTGAAATTGTCTCTACTTTACAGAAAAGACTCAGGAGAAGCCTCCCAGGGGCAGCCTCCTGATTTCTATTTTCTCTCTCTCTCTTTGCAGAAGAGAAAGTTAGAAAGCCAGTGAGATAATCGAGGTTAAGTGAACATTAGCACCATACCATAGCAGATACCATGAATTTATAGCAGCACGTTATGCTTGTTTGCCCCCTTACTTTGCTGACAGATATCCTAGACCTAGATTTCTAGAGTGTAGGAATGTTCCCTTTGTGAGAGTGTACTGTCTGGGGCCTGGTTTGCTGAGTCATCACCAGCAACCTGCAAGTCACTCTTGTATAGCATCAGCTGGGGAGATGGTGGTGGATCTCAAGTCTGACTGCACAATAGAAGCACCTGGGGAACTTTTCAATATAGCTACCCATACCCGGGCCCTACCCTATGACTGGAAGGGCAACTCAGACATTTGTCCGTTTTAAAGGCTCTCCAGATGGTCCACAGATACTGGGAAATCAGGACCATCCTGGTGTGATTACAAGCTTTAGGTACAGGCTCCTGGACATTCTAACAGTGTCCTCTAATCTTGTCCACACCCTAAACATGTGCTGGTTCCTTCAGTTCACAACTCAATAGGAAACAGGTGGAGGAGGGCAAATTTAAGAATATAAATGTGAAGATGTTTGCTACTGATGGTGCCAGGAAACCTGGCACCATCCCTCCTCCAGGGAGGAGGGTACAGTGAGATGACAGAACACATCCAATATGAGAATTTCTATAGCACCAACTTTCCAAAAAGTGTTTCAGAAGCTTACAGAATTAAAACGTGAACAAGACAGGAAGTTAAACTTGACAAGGAAGAGAAACCAACTAGGAAGAGTTGGGGATGGAGCTGACTGACACTAAATTTGGCCTGAGCTTCTTGTTGGCTTGCCGTACACACTTGCTGCTGTGTGATAAGAGCAGCGTGTTAATTGCACTGGTAGTTCCTAAATGCTGTTGCACATCAGAACCACTTAGGAAACATTTTTAAAATGCTAATTTCTGGGCTCAGTGCCCTAGAAACTTTCATTTGTGGTCTGGATTATGACTTGAGGTTGGGGAGTAGGGGGTTGGGAAATAGAAGTGAACGGACGCATGGACAGACAGATGGCTAAATGAAAGGAAACATGTATTTCTCTCTCTTTTCTTTTGTTCTTTTTTTTTCCTTCATCTTTCTTTTCTGTTTATTTGTTTGTTTATTTATTTGAGACAGCGTCTCACCCTGTCGCCCAGGCTGAAGTACAGTGGCACGATCTCAGCTTATTGCAACCTCCACCTCCTGGGTTCAAGTGTTTGTCCTGCCTCAGCCTCCCAGGTAGCTAGAATTACAGGCAAGCGTCACAGCACCCGGCTAATTTTTATATTTTTAATAGAGACGAGGTTTCACCATGTTGGCCAGGCTGGTCTCCAACCCCTGACCTCAGGTGATCTGCCTGCCTCAGCCTCCCAAAGTGCTAGGATTACAGGTGTGAGCCACCACACCTGGCCCCTTACTTTCTTTTTCTTCAAAAAATAAAATATTACAGGCAAAGGTAAAATGTTTCTCTGCCCAATTTTATTTTCTGTTCTCTCTCCTCAGAAACAATAGTTACCATGAATTAGCTATTCATGTGCATGTCCAGATGTTTTTATACTTTTACTACACACAAACACTCACATTCACACATAACACATACAGTTCTATTTTGTGCAGTTTGTAAAACCTCCTGTAATTCATATTATATTGGGCATACCATTCTACAACTTTTCTTCCTCCCTGTGTTACATTCACAAGGTCCATCCATGTTGCTCTAACTCAGCGCTCAGCAAACTTTTTCTGTAAAGGGCCAGATGGCTTTGTGGGCCATATTAGTCTCTGTCATCTATTCATCTTTATTTTTGTTTGTTTGTTTGTTTCTGTCTTTTGTACCACCCTTTAAAAATGTGAAAACCCTTCTTTGCCTGGGACCTATCCAAACACGGACTTGAGGTTAGCCAGCCCACAGCCTTCCTTGGCTGAACCCCACTCTGCTCCATTCATTCTGACTGCTGGAGGATCCTGTCATTTGAATACGGTGCAGTGGATTCCCTTATCAGCAGACACATTAGAATCATTTACTGTGACCAACGCTACTACAGTAAGAGATCTCCATTTTCCACCAGCTCCTGGAGTGACTGCTAGACAGACCACAAGCCCAGCACTGCCCAAGGACCAGCACTTAGAAGCCACTGCTGTACAAGCAATGCTTGCATCCCGGTGTGGTGGCTCACCCCTATAATCCCAGCACTTTGGGAGGCCAAGGCAGGCGGATCACTTGAGGTCAGGAGTTCAAGACCAGCCTGGCCAACATGGCAAAACCCCATCTCCACTAAAGATACAAAAATTAGCCAGGCGTGGTGGCAGGCACCTATAATCCCAGCTACTCGGGAGGCTGAGGCAGGGGAATCACTTGACCCTGCGAGGCGGAGGTTGCAGTGAGCTGAGATCATACCACTGCACTCCAGCCTAAGTGACAGAGCAAATAACAACACTTGCAGAGGTCCAGGAGCAACTGGAACTCAAGTATAACAGAGTTTGGATAAATTGGAGAGCAGTACTTCCTATGTGATTGCAAAGAGATAAAAATTCTATGTGTGTGCAGTGGGAATGCATATGCACATGTGCATGTA